AATATTTAATATTTTATAAAGAAATTAACAATTATTTTTAATTTCGCAGGCAAATTTGCCTGCTAGACAATCTAAGGAATAAAAATAACTCTTAAATTATAAAACAAATAGAAATCAGACTTATTTTCAATATACCTTTAAAAAAACTGATACAGTTGTATCTCTATATAGTCATCCCCTTTATAAGCACATTATATATATTATTATATTGTTACATATTTGAAATTTACATATTTGAAATTTTTAATAGGTTCAAATTATAAGAAAAATCCTTTCCTATAATCACAATCATAGTAATACCCTTTTTATAAGCATAATTTGCTTTAAAAGTCACTATGTGTTCGACTATGTGACTATAAAAAGATACGACTGTATATATATTTATAAATGTAATATTAGTTTTAGTAAGTCTTAACTATAAAACTTTAGTTTTATATAAAATATTAGTTAATATGCTACTTCAATATTTTCGCAAATTTTTTCTTATTACTTGATTGTTTGGCTAATTTTATAGAATTTAACCAAAATTATTTATTAATTTTTTATATAAAAAAATTCAAAATTTCTAAAATATATAGTAAAAATAAAAAAAAATATAGAGTAAATGATACATTATTAAAATAACAATATTATTTAAAATGCCAAAATTTGATAAAACTAATTTTTGGAAAAAGTTAAATTGTATAATAAAATCTATAATAGTATTAGTAAAACTTGATAAATTTCAAAATTAAATTTGGTAAACTAATTTAAGATAATTTACAATAATAAAAAATAGGTTTGATAAGCATCATTAACTAAAGAAGATAGTTAATATTATTAAAATATAAAATATTATAATATTATAAAACATACATTTTATTAAAAATATATTGAAAAGTATTTAAATTATTGTTTGCTAAACTATTTTATTATTAAAATTATAAATATATTCTTTATATATTTATTTCTCTTAATATTATTAATATCAATAATACAAAAGATATTTTTGATAAAGATGTTAGCTAAATATAATGCTAATTTACAATAAATTCAGATCAATTAGATTGATAACACTATATTTATATTAGTATTCAGTCACTAACTTGATAAGAAAGAATTCTATGTTGTTTTTAAATTAAAATTAAAGGATTAGAAATATGCAAGTTTACTTGTACTTAATTATTTATATTAATTTGTCAGATCTATTATTTTATTTATAAATAATTTATTTAATATATATATATATTTTTTTATTGAATTAGGTAACTTGAATGATCGAATTAAGAAGACAATGGGTTGAAGACAGAAAAACATATTTATATATTAATGAATTAAAGGTGTTTAGATTTCATTACTATATACATGTATATGAACAACAAAAGTCTTTTAATTACATACGTTAAATGATTATTAAAGATTATACGCGTCATTGATTATATTTTTGGATTTATCTAACACGAATTTTCATTCGTTGATCACGCGCGGGGAGGGGCATATATTAAAATTGCGTTACTCTTCGGAAAATCAATAAATAAATTCAATAAATTTACCGAACCATTTATCTCAAAATGGAACGTCTTAGTGGACCAGAACTTGTACAAAAAGCTTCGCAATTTATAGCGAGTAATAAACTTGATGAAGCTGTAAAAATTTTCGAATACCTTGTAGAAAAAGTACCTGATGCACCTTTACCACTGTTGAGTAGATGTACTTGGTATGTATATATTAGAGTGTGAATGCATTTATTTAAATTCCCGAAAGACTGATGTAATGATTCCTTTTTATTTTTATTTATTTATTTATTTATTTTTTAAGTTTGATCCAGCTAGAAAAATATGAAAAAGCAAAAAAAGATGGTACCATATTATTATTTATTATTACTATTGTTGTCGTTTTTCAAAGAAGTCGTGATTTTGCTAATGAATAAATTTTTAAAGCCGAAAAACTTTTAAGTTTTCCGAATATGCCTATTGATAAAGAATTAGCACCAGGAAATTCAACATTACATTCTGTAGCATATGCAAGGTTAGCAAAATGTTATAAAGAATTTGGACAAGTTGAAGAAGCAGAAAAATTATTAAAAAAAAGGGTGGAAATAGAAAAAAGTACAACAAATCCCCAAGCCATTCAAGAGTTAATCGACGAAGATGATGACATAGAAGAAGTTAGAACGAATAATGGAAGATCGGAAAAGCTAAGATTACAAGGAAATGAATTATATAAATTAAAAAAGTTCAAAGAAAGCTCAGTTATTTATTCGAAGGCATTAGAACTTGATCCAAATGATATCTTGGTTCATTCTAATAAGGCCCAAGTGTTGTTAAAACTTAATGAATTAGATGATGCTTTAGAACATGCAGAAAAATGTATTAAACTAAACACTAAATGGCCGAAAGGTTATTACCGTAAAGGCAAGAAAAACCTTTTTTTTTTTTTTTACTTAATTCTTCATTATGGCTTTTGAAAATAAATCTTTTTTAAATTCCATAAATAGGATGTATATTGCTTTTACAAAAGAAATATGGTGAAGCATTTGCCGCACTTCAGTTGGCGAAACATTATGGTGCAAAGGACGCCGATTTATCAAAAAAAATTGAGTTGGCACGCAAAAAAATTAAAAATTCGGCAAATAATTCTATTGATCCATCAAGAACCTCCCCTAGTTTAAAATCAATTATAATATCTTCAATAGCAGTTGTTATCATTTCAATTCTTTTTTGGTATTTCAAGGATATTATTTATTGGCTATTTAATATTTATTTTGAAGATCTTTGGTAATTTTATCAAATTTCTTTATCTTTTACTAATTTCTCTAGTTCTTTAAAGACTTTAGATGGAAGTCCAACTACATTATAATAACATCTATTATAAACAAACAAGTACTTTAGTATTGAAATAGATAGATAGATGATATATAGATAGATAGATCATTTTTAATAATTATATAAATTATACCCGTTAATCTTTTCAACAAAGAACGAACCAAGTCCTTGATAACCATAAGCACCCGCTTTATCCATTGGTTCACCGGTTTCTACATAAACTTTAAAATCTTCTTCACTACATTCTCTAAATATGACTTCTGTTTCTTCTAAAAAAGTAATAATATTATAACCTGGATGAACAGGTTCTGTTAAAGGATATATTAAGGCGATTCCCGTGTAAACTTGGTGTGATCTCCCATTAAGTTTCTTTAAAATCCGCAACGCATCTTCGGTGTCTTTTGGCTTTTCCAAAATGTTACCATCTATGGAAACAATCGTATCAGCTGCAATCACGATATCAACTTCTTGGTCTTCTTGCTTTTATAATTTAAAATATTCATTTCTACATTTTGAAATAAAAAAAAAAAAAATTTATTTATACTATAAATATATATACGAACCACCAATCGTCCATAAACTTCTAAACCCTTCTCTGTAGCATTTTCGATCACATATTCAAAAGGGGTGTAGTTCGATTTATCCAAATTTTCAGGAAATTTACTTGGCACCACATCGAAACTCAAACCCTTAATTTAAAATTAATTTATTAAAAAATTTATTCTTGAGATTTAATTACATAATAAAATTTTCCATACCAACTTTGATAAAATTTCTTGTCGACGTTGGGAACCAGAAGCGAGTACAATGCGTTTATTTTGAAGGTAATGTACAAAAGAAAAAGGCATTTTTGATATTTATAATATATATCAAACAACTAATATGAATCTTATTTATGATCTACAATGACTTTATTGGTGGATATATTATTTATATTTCATCATTGTTAAAACTCAAATGGGCTTGTACTTTTTGCGATTTCTTTTTTGTCGTTTTAGCTTTCTTTTCTAGATTAGTATCTTTTTCTGTATCATTCTTACTATCACCTCGCTTACGTTTCATACCATCAATGGCTTCATTAATTGATTTTATAGACATATTCGATTCATTTTTTGCCTTAGAATGAGATCCAACGATCGTTTCTGATTTACTTGTTTTAGACACTTTTTTTGCTTTTGGTTTACGAAAAAGGAGTTTTCCCGTTTTCTCATCTATAATTGGAGTATCATCTTCGGCATCACTTTCCTTATCATCCTCCGAAGAAGAATCTTTTAATCAAATTTAAATAATGATTTATTATTGTCGTCTATGATGAAAAAGAATTAATTCGTTACAAATATATATGTACCTTTAGATTTCGCCTTAGAGTCCAGATACACTTTGACTTCTTGTTCGCTCATATGTTTTCCTTCTTTTAAAACTACAATTTGAGGCCTTTCTTCTTCCCTTGTCGCATTAAGCTCATCGTCTGAAGGTTCTTCATTATTTATACCTTCATTTGCAACTTGAGGTCGTTCATCATCATCATCATCATCATCATAATGATTATTTGTCTGACCGGTTAATGCTTGTAAGAAACTTGGAAGCTAAAAATAAAAATTAAAATTCAGTATCGGTTATTTTCATCAATTAAGTTATTAAAATATTCTTACCGGTTTAACATAAGTAAGACCTTTTTTGAATTGATATGGTGTCTGTTTTGGAGGCATAATAATTTCCTAAATCACAAAAAAAAAAAAATTAGTATATAAACAAAATTTGATCAGCTACTGTTAACATATGATTCTGCATTTGATCTTTTACACAACAAAAAGTTACTAATATAAAGAACAATAAAAAAATAATGGAATCAATTAGACGATTAGAAGCAAATCGTTTTTTGATTTATAATAAAAAGTCTATTTCCAAATCTGATAGATATTAAACCTCTCGGCTTTCCTACTTTATTGGGTTTAGACTTCAAGCTTGTCACAATTCTGAAAAACTCGCCCCTTTGGAAACATTTTTACATTCAACAAGTTTAACATGTCAAATTTGCAAATTCGTTTATTTCGATACGCACTTCTTATTTTGTTTGGCTGTTCGTGTCTATTTGGTTCAAGCTTTTTAACACTAATGTTAATTCCTCCTTTCGCATTTTTTGGGTGGGTTTTTTTCCCGATCGTTATTGGATGTAGCATTGGTAAGTTCTAAAGTCCACTCAACCTTTTTGTAAACATATCAATTAACTAAATTTTATAAAATCAATAACTCAAATTTTAGTCGGTGCTTATTGTATTGCATGGTTGGCATATTTAACCTTTGGTAATTATGAGGGAACTTTATTAAATTTTGATTAAAATTTTACTTTTTTTTTTTTTAATCATTTCCGTGAATATATATAAATTATAGCTCAAACAGATCGGGAATTTAATATTCCTTATAACCCCAAGCGCATATTAAAAGTTAATTATGCTATACTTCAAGGGATGTGGTCTTTCTTACCATATCTGCCGTTATTAGCAGAATATGGGTATCAACGATTATTTGTAATAAAGAGAAGGCATCAACAAATTATAAAGTAAGCCATAATATATATATATATATATTATAATTTGAATTTTATAATATGAGTTCGTATATAACAAATTTATTTATTAATTTAAGAGAAGATATTTATTATGGAAGTCATTCGAAAACAAATCGACTCGACCTTTACATTCCTGATACTGCAAATTTGCAACAACAATTTGATGCTTTAGCTACACATCCAGTAATCGTGTTTCTTTATGGTGGAGCTTGGAGCAGTGGTATTAAAAGGTTCCTTAGCATATTTTTACTCCGGGTTTTTGTTGAGAATTTAACATTAAAAAATCTTTTAAACAGGGGATAAAATCTTGTACACTCTTTTAGCCCTCCGATTAAGAAGTTTGGGTTATGTAGTAGTTGTTCCTAATTATACTTTATATCCAAACGTATGTGACGCTCTAAATGTATGGCTATGGTTATTGTCTTTTACTATTATTTAAAATACAATTATTTTGCTTTAGGGAAAGATTGATATGATGATTTCAGATGTAAAATTGTCTTTAATTTGGACAAGAAAATATATCAAGTATTATATTTTTTATTTTATTTTATTTTAAATTTTTTTTTTGTATATAATATATGATTTATGATTATTATTATTATATTATATGCTTATAGTAAATATGGTGGCGATCCCGATAAGATCTATATCATGGGACATTCCGCAGGTGCACATTTAGCTGCTCTCGTAACAATTCGAGATGCGATCATTAAATCCGAGACTACAGAAGGTCGGATCAATTCAAAACTAGAGGATATTGATCCTGAATTAAAATTACCAAAAGTTATTGGTTTAATACTGTAAGTCATTTAATTATTATGTAATAAATTATTTTGAAATTGATCTATTAAAATGATTAATCATTATTATTTTTTCTAATAGTTTAGCTGGTGTATTTGACATATCACGACATTTCTTATGGGAGGCAAAGCGTGGTGTAGAGGAACTTTCTGCAATGGCTCGAGCAATGGGGAATACAGAGGAAAATTTTGCTTTGAATTCTCCTACAATTCTTCTTGAAGATGCTTTGAAAAGTAGAGATATAGATCTTGAAAAGTTAAAAAGTTTGATGCCTCCCAAAATATTATTTATTCATGGGAATAAAGATAGTACAGTTCCTTTGGAAACTACCTTAAGGTTTAATTATGTGTTAAATGAATTATGCATAAAGGATCTGAGATTGAGAATACCGTCAGATATGGATCATTTCGATCCATTATCTGGTTTTATGTGTAATTCTCGTAAAAACAAATTTTCTTCTCAACTACAATATGAACTTGCTGATTTTATGTCATGTTAATCATTATTTAATAAACATTATTGAGAAAAAAATTATAATTTATTAATCATTTTGTTCAAACTTTGCTTTGCATAGCAATCCTTTTCTGTTAATTAATTTATTCAACCAAGGTTCTAGAAATGTTTCTGAATTGGCTTTGGTTACTTTGCACTTGCGATAGAGGGATATATATATATATATATATTTAGGAAAACTTCCTAAGATATGTTTTTTCGAGTCTCAGTACAACCTTTTGGATTCTTTCGTTAAGACATCAAACTGTCCACGAATATCTAAAACTCGCTATTAGTCAAAAAATCTTATCTAATCTTTTCCCTGAAACAACCATGCTCGAATTACCACCAGATTATTATCATGTTTTGTATGTACATGGGACCCAATAACGATACCAAGTGGCCATACTATTTTTCATAACCAATAACCTTCTTGTATCCGAAAATGATTTCTCGATTTCACAAGCCTTCGACTCCGTGAACTTTTTATAATGAAACAACCAACACACCAACAATATGTTTATAACCTAAGACCAACTTTTCTAACTGTATAAATCGTTCATGGAACAAGGAATATGTAATGGAGTCATCATAACTGGACCTGGTACTGGTAAAAGCTGGATCCTTCAAGTATCTCTGGAAGTGATATTTATTTTTCCAAATTCTGTAAACAGTATGCAGGTGTAGACCATTTTACAATTTATCAAGCATTTGAAGTAATTTTCAAGGATATGGATATCAACATTTTGATTCTTGGCATTGACGAAATGATTACGTTACATCAAACTGATCCAAGTTCTGAGACGTATCTAGTTCGTTCAATTGTACGAGTTATTGGGGAATTAAGTTGTAGCAGCTCAGAGAAAAGTTTTGTGCCTATCATGTCTGGAACAAGACAAGGGCTTCTACACATATTTCATTACGTTTACCACTCCGGAACTTACTAGGCACCTGATTTTTTTTATACTCTCCTGTTCGGAGTGGCTCTTGGGACATTGTTGGGACTTAATGTGGGACAGTTTGGGACATAGTGGCAAAATGCTTGAAAATGTACATCACTGCTCATGTGCTTACGAACATTCTCCATCTACGGCATTGTTTTTTAGCCTATAAATAACCCTGAACTCGTTCCCGTTAGCCTTAGCATTATTTCGCTTGCGAATGTTTTCCTCAATATATTCTTTCATCCATGGAGACTGTCGAAATTTGAGAGTATCATGAATCTTTGTAATTTTTAGCCCAAATGTCTGAAAAGTATGATAATGCATTACATAATTCTTCATAGTAAAAAGGGCATGAACTAACTTCTCTTTGAACAAATATTTTTCACTCCCAACTGCTTTATCACACACCAATATTTCATTATACAAGCTAAGCCAATTTTCTGGCATATCTGCTTTTCTGGTGCTAGAGAATAATCTGCAGAGAAATTGTGTAAGTGTATCAGAGTTTCTAAGTTAATTTCAAGCATATAACCAATTTCAGCAGGCGCAATACTTTAGATATCTGGTACTTCCTCTAGAGCTACCTTACCTAAGATCTCTGTAGGCATGTATTAGGTCATCGCACCTGAATACAATGTGTTCATATCTTCATATATGACCCAGTACTTCGGCTTGCTAGGCTCATATTCAGAACATTACGGATTATTTGCTTTGGCATATCGGTGACTTCATTAACATCCCTTTACAGATTCCATTTTCAACCATTAGATACTTATCCCATATCTGTTATAAGCTTGAGTTTGACTTCATGCTTTTATATAATGAATCGTTGAACATCATACATAATGAGAAGGATCTAAGCCATCATCTTTCAAATATATAATAGTGTAGTTCATGAAAATTTCTACAATTAAAAATACGTCTATTTCAAGATATAGGTCAATATATTCTCCAAAATTCTTGCCATATTTTTTAAGCATATTTATATTATCCTTTCTTGGTAAAAGGTTTGTTTTGTAGAATTTATCCTATGAATTTATCCAATCATATGAAAATATATCCTTTCAGAAAAGTAACTAATCTTATAAAGTTAAGGAAAATCTTTGAGTTTTTTATCTAAGCACTCAACTAATTCATCAAATCTCATCATTTTTATGTGTTAGAAGCTATCAAAAAATCAGAGCTGACCAATATTTATGGTTTTGTATTTTCCTATATTCTCTGAGATGCAATTTAACTTATTAGCTATGAATTTACTTATAACTTTCATAAGTAGATGAAGTAGATGAGAATTATACTTTAGAAATTATGATAAATAAGAAGTACTTTGATTTTAAAAAAAATACTTCTTATAAATTTTATCTAGTCGGTTTCCAATTTATCTATAACTTTTTATTATAAACATCATAAATTGAATCTTAATACTTTCTATTTATATAATTATGAACTTTTACTTTTTAATTAATCACATTTAAAATTTTTTAGTATTTTTATATCTCTTTCTTTTTAGAATGTTCTGTTTTTATGTATGATTTCCATTCTTTGATTTCTAATAGTTTATGTTTTACTTCTTCAAGTTATTAAACTATTTCTAATACTGATTCTAAAAAAGGTCATTTGCAAATTTAATGTTTTATTACTTTATTATATGATTTTATCAACAAATTTTTTTAAGATATCTTATCCTCAATATAAATTATGACTTACTATCTCATAATTAAGTAAAATGTTTATATAAATAATCATATAGTAATATTCATAAAAATCCAAATAAAAAATGATATATTTTATATAAGATTTGTATATATATTTAATGATTCTATATTACAAATCTATATATTTTATAATGTTTTATTTTTTATAATTTTTTATAAAACTAATTAATACATATATACAAAATTATTAAGAAATTTAAAATAATATATAAATTTTATTTAAAATAAAAAAATAACAAAATAATATATATTATATTTTATTTAATTAAATTTTTTTTAATACTCAAATTATGTAAAATAATAAATTCTTCTTAAATACTTCTTAAATTTTTGTTTAAATTATTTATTAAAATAAATACTATTTTTTTTAGTCAATTAAACTTAAACAAAAAATTTTATTTTTTAAAAAAGTAATTTTTCTTTTTTTTTTTATCTTTCTTTTATTTATATCTTACAATCTCTTTATTCTGAATTCAAAATGTAAAGAATTATTTGTAATAAAATTAAAAAACCAAATTATTAGTAATTATATAATTCAAGAAGGATTAGTTAAAAATGCTTTATTTATTGAAGCTAAAATAAATAGATATTATGTAAATACTTTGATTAATATTAGATCAGTAAAAAGTATTATTACTTAATGATATTTAAACAAATAATTGATGGATCTGTAAAAAATAAAAATCATGAAAGTAGATAGTATAACTATGATACTTATAGGAATAATTAAAGAAATATTAAGGTAAAAGTAAATGAAATAATAGTAAATGAAGATATATTAGTAACTAATACTATAGGATATAATATTATTTTAGAAAATATATAATTACAAAAATTTTGAGTTACTATTGACTATAATGCAAGTACTTTAATATTACAGCAAAAAGAATAAGTTTTTATAATGCTAATGATATGTATCCAAAATATTAATCTAAGAAAATTCAAAGTTAAAGTAATCTCAAAAAAATTAGAATTTAAAGATGAGGATAAAGATATTGATATATAATAATCCTTTGCTATTATTCCTAAAGAAAAGGAACATATTCTATATATAAATAAAAAAGATTATCCTGAAATATATTTACAAAAATTGGAATATAAAGCAAAAATACAACAAAGTAAAGATTAGAAAGAACTAGCTATATATTAATGTCATAAAATCTTTAAACGGCAAAAACCAATGTAATTATTGTAGAAAAATTATAAAAAATACCAATATTATAGAAATGGTATAGAGTAAAAATAATATATAATTAAATTAACTTTATAAAATTTATTTAAGTTGCAATTATAGATTGCAACTATTTAAAAATTGTAATTTTTGTAATAGTTGTAATCTAAATTATAGTTGCAATTTTATTTAAATAATAAGTTAAGTTATAACTATAATTTAAGTTGCAACTGTTATAATAATTACCTAGAATATTATTTTTATCATCTAAATCTTATAAATTACATAAATAATATTTTGACAATTTCTGATATAATGCAAAATTTTGCATTAAATTTTGAAAATCTTGAGGTAATTTAAATTTATATAATTTAATATTTACGTTTAATCACATTAATATCAATAATCATATTTTAATAAATTAAAGATTGATAAAGAAAGAATATATAATGAACAAAATACTGGCATGTAGTGGAAAAATACCAAAGAATGTTTACTAATTGACGCAAAACTTTTATCCTTGATATTATATTCTAATGCAACTAACGTTGATATATTGAAAAAAAGTAAACTACATCCTATATATTTAACTATTTGCAACATTAAAAATTGGTGACATAACAAACTTGATGCAAAATAATTATTAGGATATTTACCAATTTTATCAGCATGTGATAATTCTGATAAACAATCTATCAAATTTAAAAGAGCAGTACGAAAAGCTTTTCATAATTTCCTAAAAGTACTTTTATATCCCTTCTTAAATCCAATAACAGTATTTATTTGACAATATCTAATAAAACATTTTGATTCTTTCCCTGAGTTTCAGTTGTAATTTCTGATTAGCTTGAAGCTTTGATGTTTTATCTTACATATAAAGCATATAATTCAAGTCATCCATGTTATTTTTGTTTAGTCTCAAAAGATAATCTTAATAAAATTAATTTATAAGATAATGATACTGAACTACATATCCATGAAAATATGATCGAGCATTTTGAATAGAACACAAACCATTCTGTATCAATTGAAAATATTTCCAATTTTTTTTGGAATCTTCAAAATTTTATTATTTTATTTTATTTTTAATTTTTGTTTAATTCTAATAATAAATAATGATCAAATTATAGAAATATAAATATCTATTCTGCCATAGTATCCAATAGAATGCATCATCTTGATTTAGGTTTATTTCAATATCAAGTTAATTATAATTATACACAAGAACTTTTAAAGTTGGTAATCATTTAGTAGGTGAAATAGATCATAGATTAGCAGAAATACCAAGATTTACAAATTAAAAAATTTTTAAAACTGGATTATAGTCAATTGCAAGA